GAGTTGCTGTTCCTGCAACCTTCGGGTAGCATCGTTGTGGCACTGCAGGAGGCCCAGGATGGACATGTCATCTGAGGAATGGGAGGGGGAGTTGAAATGGTTCACGACTGGGAGGTGCAGTTGTTTATTGCGAACCGAGCGTAGGTGTTCTGCAAAGTGGTCCCCAAGCCTCCGCTTGGTTTCCCCGATGTAGAGGAGGCCACACCGGGTACAGCGGATGCAGTATACCACATTGGCAGATGTGCAGGTGAACATCTGCTTGATGTGGAAAGTCTTTTTTTTTTTTTTTTTTTTTTTTTGGGAGGAGGTATGGGGGCAGGTGTAGCACTTCCTGCGGTTGCAGGGAAAAGTGCCGGGTGTGGTGGAGCTGGAGAGGAGTGTGGAGCGGACAAGGGAGTCACGGAGAGAGTTGTCCCTCCGGAAAGCAGATAAGGGTGGGGAGGGAAAAATGTCTTAGGTGGTGGGGTCGGATTGCAGATGGCGGAAGTGTCGGAGCATGATGCGTGGAGGTTGGTGGAGTGCTACGTGAGGACGAGGGTGATTCTTTTTTGGCTGTTATTGCGGGGACGGGGTGTGAGGGATGAGTTGCGGGAAATGCGGGAGACACAGTGGAGGGCGTTCTCGACCACTGAAGTGGGGGAAGTTGCGGTCCTTGAAAAACGAGGACATCTGAGATGTACATGAGTGGAAAGCCTCATCCTGGGAGCAGGTGCAGCGGAGGCGAATGAATTGGGAATAGGGGATGGCATTTTTGCAGAAAGGTGGGTGGGAGGAGGTATATTCTAGGTAGCTGTGGGAGTCGGTGGGCTTGAAATGGCTATCGGTTTCTAGGTGGTTGCCCGAGATGGAGACAGAGAGGTCCAGGAAGGTGAGAGAGGTGTTAGAGATGGTCCAGGTGAACTTAAGGTTGGGGTGGAAGGTGTTGGTGAAGTGGATGAACTGTTCGAGCTCCTCGTGGGAGCACGAGGCGGCGCTGATACAGTCATCAATGTAACGGAGGAAGAGGTGGGGGCCAGTGTAGGTACGGAAGAGGGATTGTTCCACGTAACCTGCAAAGAGGCAGGCGTAGCTTGGGCCTATGCTGGTACCAACGGCCACCCCCTCTGTCTGTAGGAAGTGGGAGGAATTGAAAGAGAAGTTGTTGAGGGTGAGGACGAGTTCGGCTAAGCGGATGAGGGTGTCAGTGGAGGGGGACTGGTCGGGCCTGCGGGACAGGAAGAAGTGGAGGGCCTTTAGGCCATCTGTATGGGGAATGCAGGTGTATAGGGACTGGACGTCCATGGTAAAGATGAGGTGTTGGGGACCGGGGAATTGGAAGTTCTGGAGGAGGTGGAGGGCGTGGGTGGTGTCATGGACGTAGGCAGGGAGTTCCTGGACCAAGGGGGAGAAAATGGAGTCCAGATAATTGGAGATAAGTTCGGTGGGGCAGGAGCAGGCGGAGACAATGGGTCGACCAGGGCAGTCAGGTTTGTGGATTTTGGGAAGGAGATAGAAGTGGGTGGTGCGGGGTTGGGGAACGATAAGGTTGGAGGCCGTGGGTGGGAGGTCACCCGAGGCGATGAGGTTGTGGATGGTTTGGGAGATGGTTTGGTGCTCGGGGGTGGGGTCATGATCAAGGGGGCAGTAGGAGGTGGTGTCGGAGAGTTGGCGTCTGGCCTCGGCGATGTAGAGGTCAGTGCCCAATGGTATCAATGTGGATTTCTCAAGCTTCAAAATCTCCCCTCCCCCTACTGCATCCCAAAACCAGCCCAGCTCGTCCCCGCCTCCCTAACCTGTCCTTCCTCCCACCTATCCCCTCCTCCCACCTCAAGCTGCACCCTCATTTCCTACCTACTAACCTCATCCCACCCCCTTGACCTGTCCATCCTCCCTGGACTGACCTATCTCCTCCCTACCTCCCCACCTACACTCACCTTTACTGGCTCCATTCCCGCCTCTTTGACCTGTCTGTTTCCTCTCCACCTATCTTCTCCTCTATCCATCTTCTATCCGCCTCCCCCTCTCTCCCTATTTATTTCAGAACCCCCTTCCCCTCTCCCATTTCTGAAGGAGGGTCTAGGCCCGAAACGTCAGCCTTCCTGCTCCTATGATGCTGCTGGCCTGCTGTCTTCATCCAGCTCTACACCTTGTTATCTCAGATTCTCCAGCATCTGCAGTTCCTACTATCTCTGAGACAGGAACTGAGGGAGTGTTTGGTTTGGTTTAACAGGTTTCTCAAGATGACGATTTCAATGTTCCCTTCACTCTCTAGCTGTTTTTCAAATCATTCCAGGTTTTACACTTTCAAAATAAAGATTAAACAGGTTAGACAGCCCCTGGTGGGCACTGAAAAAAAAACCAAGGGGTTAACGGAAACAGATCAAAAATTAAAATTATAGCTCTATGTTAGCAGTGACAACGCACCCCACATTCTGGGCTCGAATCTCTTTTGAAATAATTCAGCTGCTTCAAAGACCTTCCCTCCACCATAACATCAGAAGTAGGGATGTTTGCCAATGATTACACAATATTCAGCACGATTTGTGACTCCTCAGATACTGAAGCAGTCCATGTTCAAATGCAACAAGATCTGGACAATATCCAAGCTTGGGCTGACAAGTAGCAAGTAACATTCGCGCCACACAAATGCCAGGCTATGACCATAATGAATAAGAGACAATCTAACCACCAGCCCTTGACATTCAATGTTACCATCACTGAATCCCCCACTATCAACATCAAGGGGTTATGACTGACCAGAAACGCAACTGGACCCACCACATAGACAGTGGCTACAACAGCAGGTCAGAGGCTAGGAATACTGTGGCTAGTGACTCACCTCCTGACTCCCCAAAGCCTGTTCACAAGGTGTAAGTCAGGAGTGTGATGGAATACTCGCCACTTCCTGGATGGGGGCAGCTCCACAAGAGGCTTGACACCATCCAAGATAAAGCAGCCCACTTGATTGGCACCACATCCACAAGCATTCACTCCCTCCACCACCGACACTCAGCAGCTGTGTGTAGAAGTTTCTGTTTAGCTTTGATAGTGTTTGATTCAGTCTCTCAGATCTAGGGTTTGACTATCTTGAGGGTCAGTGATGAAATGGAAAGTGGGAGGATTGTGGATACAACCCGTCTTGCAGGGTGGAAATGACTGGCATCACAAGGAGATCTTACCTGTGCCATACTTTGCTCTGTTAAAGGAGTATCATCAACCTGGAGGGGTAAGAGGAAAAAAGACTCGATAAAAGTCTCAAGCCCTGGTGAGTCATAATCTACAACGCCACTCATAACAGGAGTGCCAATTTTACATCTTTCAAAATGGTGGAAATTGCAAGAGTATCAATAGTAAATGTTCAGAGGAAAATGACAAAGGAAGGAAAACAATTTTAGACATGAGACTACAAAAGGCCAACCATGATCTCTGGACATCAGTTAAGTATCTTTTGGACTGTAGTTACTGTTGTAATGTAGGTAACACAGCAAACAATTTGAACACAGGAAGTTCTCACAAACAGCAATAAGGTAAACGGTTACAGACTCATAGCGATATTATAGAGCTCACGACCACCTTTGAGGGCAAGGATGGGCAGTTAATGCAGGCAGAGCCAACAATGCCCACACCCAACAAGCAAATTTAAAAAAAAACACTGGAGGCCATTCAGCCTAGCTCTTTCAAAATAAAAATCCAGTTACTCCTGCTCCCGCAATCCTGAAAAATTTTTTTTACCTCCTTCAAATATTTATACAATTCCTTTTGCAAGCTGCTATTACCTTGCTTCCAATACCCCATCAGGCAACATATTCCAAACCCCACCCACTCATAGAACATAGAACAGTACAGCACAGTACAGGCCCTTCGGCCCACGATGTTGAGCCAAACTTTTACCCGAAACCTAAGGTCTATCTAACGTTCACTGCTACCTTATACTATCATCCATATGCCTATCTAATAGCCGCTTAATTACCCCTAATGAGGCCGACTCCACTACCCTCTCCGGCAATGCATTCCACGCCCCTACCACTCGCTGAGTAAAGAACCTACCTCTGACGTCTCCCCGATATCTACCTCCTTTCACTTTAAAACTATGTCCCCTCGTAAAAGCTACCTCCACCCGAGGAAAAAGTCTCTGGCTGTCCACTCTATCTATACCTCGGATCATTTTGTACACCTCTGTCAAGTCACCTCTCATCCTTCGTCGTTCTAAAGAGAAAAGCCCTAGCTCTCTCAACCTTTCCTCGTAAGAGCTTCCCTCCATTCCAGGCAACATCCTGGTAAATCTCCACTGCACCTTTTCCAATGCTTCCACATTTTTCCTGTAATGAGGTGACCAGAACTGGACACAATACTCCAGATGTGATCGAACCAGGCTTTTGTATAGCTGCAGCATAACTTTACGGCTCTTGAACTCAACCCCTCTATTAATGAAAGCTAACACACCATACACCTTCTTAACAACTCTATCCACCTGGGTGGCAGCTTTCAGGGAACTGTGAACATGAACCCCAAGATCCCTCTGCTCCTCCACACTGCCAAGAATCTTTCCATTAACCCTGTATTCTGCTTTCAAGTTTGTCCTTCCAAAATGAATCACGTCACACTTCTAAGCGTTAAACTCCATCTGCCACTTCTCAGCCCAGCTCTGCATTCTATCAATGTCCCTTTGTAACCTAGAACAGCCCTCCGCACTATCCACAACTCGACCCACCTTCATATCGTCCGCGAACTTACTAATCTACCCTTCCACTCCTTCATCCAAATCATTTACAAAAATCACAAATAGAAGAGGACCCAGAACAGATCCTTGTGGTACACCACCCTAACTGAGCACCATGTTGAATATTTTCTGTCCACTACCACCCTTTGTCTTCTAAGGGTCAGCCAATTCTGAATCCAATCTGCCACATTTCCCCCTATCCCATGCCTCCTTACCTTTTGCATGAGCCTACCATGGGGAACCTTATCAAATGCCTTACTTAAATCCATGTATACCACATCCACTGCTCCACCTTCATCCACTTGTTTGGTCACCACTTCAAAGAATTCAATAAGGTTTGTGAGGCATGATCTACCCCTCACAAATCCATGCTGACTATCATGAATCAAACTGTGCCTTTCCAAGTGATCATAAATCCTGTTTGTCAGAGCCCTTTCCAATAATTTGGCCACCACTGACGTAAGACTAACTGGTCTGTAATTTCCAGGGTTATCCCTGTTCCCTTTTTTGAACAAGGGAATGACGTTTGCCTCTTTCCAATCTTCTGGCACTATACCCGTTCACAGTGAGGACGAAAAGATCATCACCAAAGGCCCTGCGATCTCGTCCCTCGCTTCCCATAGAATCCTTGGATAAATCCCATCAGGCCCAGGGGACTTATCTATCATCAACTTCCTCAGAATTCCTAGCACATCTTCTTTACTAACATCAACCTCCTCTAGCCTACCTGCCTGTTTCACAATGTCCTCCTCTATAACTAGGTCCCTCTCAGTTGTGAATACTGAAGAAAAGTATTCATTAAGGACCTCTCCTATCTCTTTAGGCTCTGTGCACAAATTCCCTTTACAATCCTTGATCGGCCCTACCCTTTCTCTAGCCATTCTCTTGTTCTACACATACGTGTAAAAAGCCTTGGAGTTTTCCTTGATCCTATTTGCCAAGGTTTTCTCATGCCCCCTTATAGCTCTCCTAAGCCCTTTCTTCAGCTCCTTCCTGGCTAACTTGTATCCCGCTAGAGCCTTTTCCGTTCCTCTTTTCCTAAACCTTACATAAGCATCCTTCTTCCTCTTAACCAGTCATTCAACCTCTCTCGAGAACCATGGCTCCCTCACTCGACTGCATCTTCCCTGCCTGCTAGGGACAAACATATCGAGCACATGCAGTATGCATTCCTTAAACAATCTCCACATTTCTGTGGTGCTCTTCCTTGACAGCATCTGTTCCCAATTTATGTTACCCAGTTCTTGCCTAACTGAATTGTAATTACCCTTCCCCCAATTATAAACTTTACCCTGCTGTATGTACCTATCCTTATCCATGACTATCGTGAAGAGTTATGATCAGTACCGCCAAAATGTTCTCCGACCAACAGGTCTAACACTTGGCCCGGTTCGTTGCCAATCACTAAATCCAAAGTGGCCTCTCCTCGTGTTGGTCTGTCTACGTACTGTGTCAGGAATCCTTCCTGAACGCACTGGACAAAATCTGCTCCATCTAAACTATTACAGCTAAAATGTTTCCAATCAATATTTGGCTACAACCCTGTGACTTCTGCACCTTTCCAGTCTGTGCCTCCCAATCCGCTCCCCCACTTCTCTGCAACTATTAGGGGCTCTGTAAAAAACCCCCAACAAAGTGACTGCTCCTTTCTTGTTCCTGACCTCAACCCAAACTGACTCTGTAGACATATCATTCTCGAACTGCCTTTCAGTAGCTGCTATACTCGCCCTGACTAGCAATGCCACTCCCCCACCTCTTTTTCCACCGTCCCTATTTCTTTTAAAGCATCTAAATCCTGGAACTTCCAACATCCATTCCTCTCCCTGAGTTACCCAAGTTTCTGTAATGGCCACAACATCATAGTTCCAAGTACCGACCCATGCTCTAAGTTCATCTGCTTTATTGCTGATACTTCTAGCATTGAAGTATATACACCTCAAACCATCTTGGTGTCCACAATTACACTCCATCGACCGCATTTTTTTATAAACCACCTCACTCCCTGTTGTGTCTGTTGGAAGGCCAAATACCTCATCCTCTGAATTATAAATCCGGTTCCCCATTGCATAAATAAAGTTTTGCCCCATCTCCTAACGTTCAGGTATAAAATTCTTTTATTGCTACTTCTGTCCCACTTTAGTCATTCCCCCAATACTGTCAGTTTGTCTTCTACAAACACTTTGCAAGTTTTCTCCCAAGTTTATTTTCTACCTCCAGCTCGTCTGACACATGCACTCTCTCTCTCTGTATATACAAGTCTTTCAGCAGATGCTGTCCTACCCCTGTAAACCTCAGATGCTATTTTAAGAGTGCCTGAACCTTCTTTCTAGAACCTACAGGGTGGCAGATGGGTGTAGCCTGGGGCCCTGGAAGGGGGCAGGCTGTCTGAGACCTGCTGGCCACATACAATGAGAAATAATATTAGCTGAGCCCAGATTGTCTTGGGGTTGCTCTGCCAGTCCTTTCAGTTGACACAGACACAGAGCCAAGCGGAAAGTCACTTTAGGCCCTGCAGTGCAGAAACAGGCCATCACAGGCAATTTTCTTGCAGGGGGGTGGAGGAGGGAGGACGAGGAGAGACAGGGAGAGAGTGAGTGAGTGAGTGAGCGAGCTTCAGGTCAGGACAGTTGACAGCAATGCCAACAATGGACAGTAATTAAAAAAAATCAAGGATATGCAAATAGCCTGGATTGGACAAGCCGAGAGAGAGATTCTGAAAAGGTGTTTATTGGAATAAATAGCCTGTCTCTGCAGTGTCTGACATTTGCAGTCAGCCTGAAGAAGGCAGACACCTGACCTGTAGGCCTTGCTGTGCCCCTTGACCTACACTGACTGACCTGTTGCAAGGCTCCAGCATTTACTGACTTTATTCAATTTGGCAGCGGGCTTGTTACTCATTTCAACCTGCAATCAATACAACCAGGGCAGCACGCTGCATGAATATAGTACCCTTTAAAAGTGAAACTTCATAATCAGCATAAATCAAAAATAATGTTAAAAACTACATTTCCCAAAACAGAATGTTGCTCTCCTTGCTCCTCCTCATCACTGTGGCCATTATCCATGTTCAAGTCTAGATTGTGGGAGGTGGGCTACCCCAACCATGAGGGTATCACATATATGCCCAACCGAAGCTGAGAGATCGATAGGATTTTTCCAAGGACTACAAATGGAATAAAGGAAAACAACAATGTGACAAGAATATGGCGCTGAGGAACATGATCTTATTGAATGGGAGAGCAGGCTGGATGGGCTGAATGGCCTACCCTTACTTGTTATTGTCCTTATGATCCAATTCTCTGCAAAACCCAGTCGCCCTCGTGAATTTTAATGGGGGTGACTGGACACCAGTTAAGGAGGAGGAACCCGTCGAGAGTATTTCCCCTCTCTACATCCTCCGGACTTTAATAAAGATCATTGGAAAACCCCTTTGAAAAATGTCAGCCTTTGTTCATTGGGTAACACACTCACTTCAAATTCAACAAGTTGAAGTTTAATGTCAGAAACTTGAGCACTTAATCCAGACAGACGATACCAGCGCGCGGCTGGAGGGGCCCCACACTGCCCGATACTGGATCGGACATGAAACACAAACAAACTCACTCCTCAGGTCGGTTGCAAAGGTTCCAATGGCCAACATTTTGAAGAAGTTGAACATGTTATTTGTGTCCAGGCCAAAACACATCCCTTGAAATGAACACCACAACACAGAGCTAATCTGATCATTATCACATTGCTGTTTGTGGGAGCTTGCTGTGTACAAATTGGGTGTTATGTTTCATACACTACCATTGTGCCCATATTTTTAAAAAATTTCTCCATTGGCTGTAATATGCTCTAGAAAATCCAGAGATTGGAAAGGTGCTATAGAAATATTTTGTGTTTATGCTGCTGTGTGCCAGGACATCCCAACGGTGAGTCATGACCCTCAGTAGGGGCACGAGCTGTCACTTTGGGGTTGTAAGTTCCAAAACAGCATTCAGCGCTATAGATTTCTGACCATGTGCCAACAGCTGCGTGGATCTTTTAAAATGCTCAGCATTTTTAAATAGTGGACATAGCCTAACTGGCTGATATTAGCTGTGGCTGTGGTCTTGCAAAACCCAGGGGAAAAGCAGGTCCCAACACTCGGTCTCACAGTACCCTCCTCCCTCAATCACACCACCAAGCCTCATTCGTGATCTGACAACAACTTCTGATGTATCAAAAACAAGATCACAAGAGGAAAAAAATTCAGGAAGAGCTGTCTTATGCTTTCCATGAGGCTGTTCCCAGCAGAACCTCAATGCAGGAGGAACGTGGCATTGAGGGACAAGTTCTGCCATGAGCTTGTTGAATTGAGGGGCTGAATGGCCTACTCCTACTTCTTGTGTCCTTATGATCCAATTCTCTACCAAACTCAGCTGCATTCACAAACTCCTCACTGCACCGTCTTCATAACCTTCCAGTTTCCTCAGCTGATGGGGTCAGCACTGCTGCTGACAATATTGTACAAAGAGATAAATACAGATCAGTCAATCAGCGGCAAACTCCCCTTCAGCTGGGCAGACCCTTCCACGGGACAGCACGCTGCAAGGGCACAACAAATCGACATTCTCTCGCCATACCTGCTCTAGCTGCTGTTAGTTCAGAGGCCGGTGGGCTTGGTCCCCACTGTTCCCACTGCTCGTCAGATAGTCAAACAGAACAAAGCCATAGGCCGATTCAGAGTCTGCCTGGCAGAAAGAGAGACAGAGAGAGAGAGAGACAGACACAGACAGAGAGAGCAAAGAATAAAGATATAGTCGCCCCTAAACAGGAAAGTGCAAAACAAGGGTGTTGATATGTTCTAGAACAGACACTTACCCTGAAGTTCACTTTCTGAATGACCTGTTGAGGATCACTCTCCAGAATGACCCTGTCAGAGCAGCAGAGGGACAAAGTTAAAAAGAGAGGATGACAGTTTATTGGATATTAATCCAGCTCCATCACCCTGGAATACATCGCATTCGTTAGGCCACCATGCTGCTGATAATACACAGGGAGGTGATGGCCTAGTGGTATTCTCGCTGGACTGTTAATCCCGAGACCTAGATAATGTTCTGGGGACCCGGGTTCGAATCCCACCACGGCAGATGGTGGAATTTGAATTCAATAAAATATCTGGAATTAAGAATCTAATGATGACCATGAATCCATTGTCAATTGTTGGGAAAAACCCACCTGGTTCAATAATGTCCTTTAGGAAGGAAACTGCCATCCTTACCTGGTCTGGCCCACGTATGACTCCAGACCCACAGCAGTGTGGTTGATTCTGAACTGCCCTCTGGGCAATTAGGGATGGGCATTAAATGCTGTCTGGCCAGCAACACCCTTATCTCATGAATGAATTAAAAAAAAAAACACTATTTTATCCTCCATAGCTCCTTGTGTGAAGAGTGCTTCCTGATATCACCCCCCAGTAGGCTGGCCCCAACTTTAAGATTCTGTCCCTGGTTCTGATTCTTCAACATCCCCCACCAACTAGAGGAAAGTTTCCCTCCAGCGACCCTATCAGATCCTGTTTTCATTTTAACACCTGAATTAGATTAAGTTAAACTTCTAAACACAGCATGATAGAAACCACATTTACACAACTGGTCCTTGTAATGGTGAGCCTGACATTGGTGGCAGGCAAATTGTTGCAGGGAATCCTGAGGAACAGGATTTATGTATATTTGGAAAGGCAAGGACTGATTAGGGATAGTCAACATGGCTTAGGTGAGACACGATTTCTCATGCACAAACTTAATTGAGTTTTTTGAAGAAGTAACAAAGAAGACCAATGAAGGCAGAGTGGTGGACGTGAGCTATTGTAACTTCAGTAAGGCGTTTGGCAAGATCCCACAGGGTAGACTGGTTAGCAAGGTTAATCACACAGAATACACAGGGAGATCTAGCTATTTGGATACAGAACTGGCTCAAAAGGTGGGAGACAGAGGGTGGTGGTGGTGGAGGGTTGCTTTTCAGACTGGAGGCCTGTGACCAACAATGTGCCACGAGGATCAGAGTTGGGTCCACTGCTTTTCATCATTTATATAAATGATTTGGATGTGAACATGGGAGATATGATAAGTTTGCAGGTGACACCAAAATTGGAGATGTAGTGGACAGTGAAGAAGGTTACCTCAGAGTACAATGGGATCTTGATCAGATGGACCAATGCACTGAGGAGTGGCAGATGGAGTTTAATTTAGATAAATGTTAGGTGCTGCATTTTGGAAAGGCAAACCAGGGCAGGACTCATACACTTATTACTATGGTCCTGAGAAGTGTTGCTGAACAAAGACACCTTGGAGTGCAGGTTCATAGTTGCTTGAAAGTGGAGTTGCAGGTAGACAGGATAGCAAAGGTGGTGTTTGGAATGCTTGCCTTTATTGGTCAGTATATTGGGTATAAGAGTTGGGAGGTCATCTTGTGGCTGTACAGGACATAGTATTCCAAAAATGGCATAACCAGTGTTCAATTCTGGTCTCAGGGGCTCAGAAAGGATTTACAAGGATGTTGGCAGGGTTGGAGGGTTTGAGGTAGGGAGCTAAGGGCTATTTTCCCTGGAGCGAAGGCTGAGGAGTGACCTTATAGAAGTTTTTAAGATCATGAAGGGCATGGATAGGATGAATACCCAAAGTCTTTTCCCCAGGATAGCACAGTCCAAAACTAGAGGGCATAGGTTTAAGGTGAGAGGGGAAAGATTTAACAGGGACCTAAGGGGCAACTTTTTCACGCAGAGGGTGGTGTGTATATGGAATGAGCTGCCAGAGGAAGTGGTGGAGACTGGTACAATTACAGCATTTAAAAGGCATCTGGATGGGTATATGAATAGGAAGGGTTTCAGAGAGATATGGGCCAGGTTCTGACAAATGGGAATAGGTTAATTTAGGATATCTGGTCGGCATGGACGAACTGGACTGAAGGGTCCGTTTCCATGCTCCGGACTCTATAACTTAACCCTTAAATAGGCAGAAACTGACAAGCTGTGAGGTGACAATTTCTTGACATAGTGAACTTTTCAAAAAATAAAAATACAAAAAGCGTAAAACTGGCCTCACCCGCCATCCACAACCTCATCCAAGATAAGGAGGAGCCCATCCATATTCTCCATCAGAGATTTCTTTTCCACATTTTTCCTGAAATCATAAAATTAGTTACCAATAAATACAAAGTGAAGGTTTAAAGCCCTGATGATCTCTAAACCAGCCACAATTAGTATCAACAATGAAAAACAACTATTTGTATTATGGCGGCATCTTAAATACATTCACTACCCAAGACATTTCACAGGAACACAATCAAAAACAAAGAGATACTGAAGCAAATGAGGAGGTAGTAGGTCAGGCGACTAAAGGCTTGATCATAAAGAGGGAACTTTCCAGTAGGGTCTTAAAGAAAGAGCTGGTAAGACAGCAAGTGAAAAACAGAGTGACAAAGAGAACACAAGACTGTGGGCGGAAATTAGACAGAGAAACAGCGAGAGTGAGAGTGTAGGGATGCTAAAGATCACAAAAGGGAGTTAATTTGAGAGCCTAAGGCTCAGACAGTTGAAGGGACACCCACCAGTGATAGAATTAAGGGAGCTAGAGATAAACCTGTAGAGCTAAACTGTAGGAATACCATTGGAGGAGGCTAAGAAGTTGGAGAGGAGCAAGGCCATGTAGGGATCTGAACATCTGGATGAGACATCGAAAACGCGAAGTATTGCTGGACTGGAAACCAATAAAAAGCAATGGCCACATGGACCATTTGGTGAGACTTTGGATATGGGCAGCAGAGTGTTGGAAAAGCTCAGGTCTAAAAACAGCAAACAGCACAGATGAGGGTTTCTGCAGAGGGGCCAAGGCAGATGCCGAGTTGAGAGATTTTACAGAATTGCGGATGAGAATCTTTGTGGCAGCACGTGGGTGTATGAGTTCAGAAACTCCGCTCTGGGTTAACGAGGGCTAAGGTTACAAACAAAAACAGTCACGTTCAGGCCGAGACCAGTGCCTGGGCACAGAGCAGAAATCAAATTGGTGATGAGGAATGGAGATGGTGGGAGAAGATAGAAAAATATTTTCACAGGGTGACACAGGTTAAAAGCTTTGATTTAAGCAAAGGGGTTTTTTTTAAAAAAAGTCTCATTTACCTTAACATTTGGCTCAAAGAGTCGAACAGGCAATTGAGAACGGCCATTAACATGAGCTGGAAATAGACAGAATTTATTACACATTACACAGACCATGATATTGTAAATGAGGGCACTTCATGTAATAACAGTAATAGATTATATAGAGGAAATCAGAATTAGGCTGATGCAACATTGTGAGTCAGTCACACCTACAACATAGGGAAACACACTGCGACTTATATCAGTAAAAAGGTAAAGTAGAGAAAGAATGGAAGCCAAAGGCAGAAACGAAGTTGGGTTTTAAGGATGGTTTCATAACAGGAGGAGGAGTGGGCAGTGCCAGTGGCTTACAATCAGCTGACGACATAGCCAGGGAATGAGGCAAGGGAAATTTGGGATGTGCAGGACAATACAACTGGAGGACACAGAGATCTTGGATGTTGTGGGATTGGAAGTGTTCACTGAAAACAGGAAGAGAAAGGAGGGATTAGAAAACAAGGGCAAAAAAACTAAATTAAGGCATAACTGTAAGGTCATTTTTGAAAAATGGCAAATAGAAGCAATGAGTGGTACAGAGTACAAGACCAAGGAGATGCTGTTAAACTTGTATAATGCCCTTGTTAGACCCCAGCTGGAATATTGTATACAGTTGTGGAAACCACATTATAGGAAAGATGTGAACGCATTGGAGAGAGTGCAGAAGCAATTTATGAGAACGGTTCTGGGAATGAGAAACATCAGTGATAAGGATGGTTTGGAAAGTTTGGATTGGTCCTCCCTGGAGAGAATGTGGCTGAGAGGAGGAGACTTGATAGAGGTTTTCAAAAATCCTGAGTGGCCTGGATAGAGTAGACAGGGAGAACCTGTTCCCGCTCACAAGCAGGAAGAATGAGAGAGCGTGGATTTAAAGCGATGTGCCAAAAAAATGCAAGGGTGAAGTGAGGAAATGCTTTCTCACCCAGCGAGTGGTTAGGGTCTAGAATGCACTGCCTGGAAATGTGGGGGAGGCAGGCTCAACTGAGACATTCTGAAGGGCACTGGATGGTTATTTGGATATGAAACAGTGTGCAAGGGTATGGGAGATTGGCCCTGGGTAATGAACCTCATTGGACTAGCAATGCAGGCATGATGGGCTGAGTGGCCTCTTTCCATGCTGCAAAAATCCTATGATTGTGAGTGAAGAGAGCTGGGGATGTGCTAGGGTAGAGGTTGGAATCAGCTCAACATGCCGATGCTGTGTGTGCTCCACATGCCTGCCCTCCCACTCTTCACTTCATTCCTTTCCTGTCTACACATCCTTCTCTTCCTGTCTGCCACACGAGTTCAATGTTTTCAGAAACCTGGATTTGGGAACAAACCTGGTCAATGGGTAGAAACCTCCCTGACAACACACTGAACATAACCAGAGAGAGAGAGAGATTGAGAATTCTAAAAGAGTGAATATTTCCATTTTCTGAAATTCTCAATGGTCCCCATACTGGTTGTAAACAAAAGTGACAGGAGATTCTCTCAAGGTTTCTGCTGCTGTTGCTCTGAGCTGTTCTGGCAGGAGACAGTGTCAGAGGAGTATGCACCAACCTCACTGGAGGTATTTGGACTCCATCTTGCACTTTGCCACATAACTGCAGTACTTCAGTTATTCAGCAAAAATGGTTAATTTTACCTCATTTTCCTGGGAGTTCCCCACGATGTAAAAGTACAGATCGACAGAACTTTTATAGATGATGGTCAATCCTTCCAGGAATGCAATGTCACCTGTTGCAGTCATAGGACAGAGGATCAGAATTCCACTTGAATTAAATGGTTTTGTGTCTTCAACTTCCTCTCTCACTCCACACTTCATTTTACACTTGATCTATGTCTTAAACGTCTACCCATCATGACTTTGTTTCTCTCACTAGCTTTACTTGACACAAGTCCATCAATTTCTGGTTTGAAATTTCCAATGGACCCCTGTCTCAGATGTTTGGGGCAGAGAAATAGAAATATCTATAATCTTGTGTATGAGGGAGCATTCTTGACATCATTACAGAGTATCCCAAGTCTGATGTTAAGATCATGCCTGCTTGTCTTGGATTCTCAATCTCCTGCTAGAAACACTTCATTTCATAAAATCATACAGTCCAGAGAAAGGTCCTTCAGTCCATGGAGTCTGCACCAAAAAAACAGACTCTAAACCTACACTGGGCCCATTTTCCTGCACTAGGTTGAAAGCCTTGAATGTTATGACAAGTGATCATACAAGTACTTTTAAAACGGTTGTGAGGCTCACCACACCTCCCCCGCTCCCCGCTCCCCCCACCACCCGCACCCCCTCCCCCCCGCATGCCCCCCAACCCCTCAATTACCCTCCCTGGCAGTGCATTTCAGATTCCCACCATCCTCTGGGTGAAAACATTTTTTCCTCAAATCCCCTCTAAACCTCCTGGCTTTCACCTTAAAATTACGGCCCTTGTTATTGATCTTTCATATAGTTGAGGAACAGCTGTTTCCTATCCACCCTGTCCATGCCCCTCATGATCTTATACGCCTCAGTCAGGAACCCCTCTCAGCTCAAAAGAAAACAACCGGAGCTTATTGAGCCCCTCTTCGTAGAGAGGCTACTCCACTCCAGCTAACATCCTGATGAATCTCCTCTGTAATTCCCTCCTGTGCAAGCACATCCTTCCTGTAATGTGTGGACCAGTACTGCACACAGTACTCCAGCCAAGGCCTAACCAAAGTTCTGGATACCTCCAACATAGCCTCCCTGCTCTTATAATTATGCTATGACTGATAACGGCAAATGTCATCTATGCCTTCTTAACTATGCTATAAATCTGTCTTGTCACCCAAAGGGATCTTGGAGTGCCTGTCCACAAATCCCTTTGAACTTCCCAGAGTCCTGTCATTGATTGACGACTCCCTTGTCTAGTTACTGGTTCTAAAGTGCACCATCTCATGCTTATCAGGGTTAAATTCCATTTTTCACTGATCTGCCCATTGTGTGTCTATCCTCCCGTAAGCGGACACCTTCCTGCTCACTGTCAACCACTCAGCCAATCCTTTCATCCTCTTCAGTAACCACAATAATTCAATTCTTAATTGTCTAACCTAATCTGTAAACAGAAACAGTAAATACTGTAAATATTCAACATCTGTTGAGAGGGAAAAACCAAGTTAACGTTTCAACACAGTGACTTTTGGAATCAGAGAAGGTTAGAGACTGCCAGATTATTACAGATTCAATTACAGATTCAACACTACTCATCCAGGACAAAGCAGCCCAATTGATTGGTGCCACATCCACAAGAATTCACTCCCTCCACACCAACACTCAGTATCAGCAGTGCGTACTATCTATAAGATGCACTGCAGAAATTCACCAAAGATCCTTAGACAGCACCTTTCAAACTCTCAGCCACTTCCATCTAGAAGGACAAGGGCAACACATACATGAAACGTACAAGTTGCAAATATATCGCTGTTCCTGGGTCAAACTCCTGGAATTCCCTCCCCAAGGGTATTGTGGGTCTATCTACAGCACATAGATTGCAGTGGATCAAGAAGGCAGCTCACCACCAAGGGGCAAATAGGACAGGCAATAAATGCTGGACCCAGCCAGCAACGCTCACATCCCATGAGTAACTTTTTTCTTAAAAAAAAATGACTGTTCAAATCTTTAAGCATTTGCTTACAGACAGGAATTTTGTGAAAGATCTTTAAAAAATCTTTACTTTCTCTGGAAAACTCAGTTACATCCTTCAAAAGAATTTCTATGCTAGGAAGTGACTTCCTGACCTGTTGAATACTTGCAGCATTTATTTTATTTCAGATTTAAAGCATCCACAATATTTTGCCTCTTACTACATTAAGTGTCCTTACAATTTAACCCTTTAGCCCTATTAACATACCAATCAATCTGTGCTGCAGGCCTCCAATTTAGCTATGACCAGAGCTCTGTACAACTGAAAGTAACTTTCACTCTTTTCTGTGACCTTTCACAGTCCCAAGATATTTGCCAACATTCTAAAGTCATTTTTTATACCTGTCCAAGAATATTTTATTATTTCTGTTTTGTGGTCCCTTAAATCTCTCTGCTTCCATTTCTAAATTCTCACTATTTAGAAAGTACTCCGATTTATCTTTCCTGGGTCCAAGGTACATGACCCTAATGCTTTCCTTACACTCAAGTGAATCTGAGGTAGTCTACTAATGTAGAAGTGAAGATTTCATAATCGGTCAAAAAGTTACGTCAGTTGTTCGTGTACATAAACACCTTGATAACAGAATGTCAGCCACCTGTTCTCAATTTGTTGCATTCACATACACTGTGACCTTCCCCGAGCTCAGTAACTTTGAACCATTTTCCCACGTATGTTGACCAGCCGCCATCCGTTAATAAACTTCCTGATGAACAAGGGAGTCAAAGCACATTGAGGCAGGTGGGAATGTGAAGCTGAGGTCATCAGCCATATCTCACAGAATGTCTCAGTGGCCTTGAGGGGCCCCAACATCCTGCTCTTGCTCCTAATTTGCACATTTGTATGATCTATACCTGCTGGGTTAGAAGCCTAGTTTAGGCAACGTGTCGTTGCAATTGAAGCTTGGTATCACTCTGGTTAATCCCTGGTGTAGACCTTCCAATGCCAACGTACCCTTCCCGAGATACAGGGCCCAGGACTGAAAGGAAACTACTGAAGAGCTGCATTGGCTTTGGCTGTGACAGCTGGTCTCATAGGCCCAACAAACCATACAGTCACCCCAAGGAGTGGCAGGAGAGGGCGGAAAGATTAAACCACATTTAACAACGGCACTGCTAAAGGGGGAGAAGCACACTTACTATCACTTTTATGCGTCTTGCTAAAAATATTCTTTTCAAAATTCCTCTGTTCCTTGGTGGAAGGATAGGCATCATCATAATACTGTGGAGAGAGAGAAACAGAGCACGAGCTAGGATCATTCCCTTGGATGCTACAGAGGTAACAACAGCTTTAATCAAACTGCTATCCTTTAGGACTTACCTTGGCATGTAGACGTTCCCCATCATTGTCCAGGATGATGATTGCTTTGACAGTGTAGAGAGACGGCTCCTAAAAGCAGAGACAAAGGGATAGCTTGTTTTGGAGATTGGTTGGAACTCCATAGTCCCAGCAGTTTGATTTGCTGTCAGTGTCCCTCTGCATTTCCCACAGGGAGTCTGTTAAATGGCAGAAGGGGAATCTGCCACTGCTCCTTTTATGCCCCACATTGATCATTGTCCTGGCACCTTAAAATGGGATCGAGAAATCAGAGAGGGCTGTGCGAGTGACTCCCCAGCCTAACTGCATCAGTGTTGCTCTCATGCTTCCACAGCACTGTCATTGGTTGAAAGGTAATGGGTTAAATCTTCACTGAGATTGGAGTTGGAATCTAGACATTCCCAATGCAGTGCTGAGGAAATGCTATACTGTCAGCGATATCAGGTAAGATGTTAAACTGGAGTGAATGAAGGAAAAAATAAAAAAGGAACCTAAAGAAAGATAGGCTTATGATCCTATGGTGAGGGGCCTGGAGTAGGGACTCTTCTTTGTGGTATTTGATGGGAGACCAACTTCCAAAAACAGAATTTGACATAAAACATTAAAATAAAACTTACCTGCCTAGCCTTGCTGTGGCACCCAAACCCCTCCCCCAGGAGGTCTGGCCTGGTGGTGGAGCATAGCTCAAGCCTCCATCAAAATTGTTGATTGGGATGGAATCTGCATGTTTAAAAAGGAAACTTCTGGCTGGGGCAGTTGTATTATTTGTCTATTCAAAGGGAAGGTTGATGGGGTAGGGAGGTAACAAAGGATTCCACTCATTTTAACTGCCCTTCCTACCCTCCCTCCCTCCCTCCAGCCCAACTCCCACCGATATGGGGGGAGATCTGGGTTAAAGCCGCACAGTCAGTGTGGAAACAGTTGTGCAGACTGTTGCCATGTCCCTTGGTTTTGCAGTGATCTCTTAGAATGGCACAGATCCTGTGATATAAATGGGATGTAATTATACAGTAAGAGTGTGGTTCCCAGTGGTTATGTCCTTCAGGAACTGCAAACCATGAAAAGCAAACATGTTTCATAACACAATATTTACTGAGCCTTTTACAGAGAGGGCGAATGAACAAACTTTCAAGGCCTGGTTGACAAAACAAATCAGTTTAAACCAACACCAGAGACAGACTCAAGTTGAGGGAAAGTGGAAATGGAGGGGATGCCAGAAACACAAGTACTTCTCACTATTCCTGCTTCACCCTTTAGGCTGATCCCAGTTTGACTGAGATACAGCACACACATTCTTGCTGTTTTCTTTAGCAAAACTTTTCTGAACTGGCGATCATACTACACGTGCAGCATCTCAGCCTGCGCTGATCATATATCTCACCAGCTCTAACCCGCCCATTTTAAGAGTCAGAAGGCTGTTGGTCCAGCCTCACTCCAGAAGGCGTTAGCATGAAATGTACGCAAACATCACTCCAGCGCTGGGAATGCTGCTCTTTCAGAAGTGCAGTCTTTCAGGTGAGATATTGGACCAAGGTATGGTCTGCACTCAGATACATCAACTAAAGAAGAGTTCTCCTCAATGTCACGGTCAATATTTATGCTTCACACACACATTGTCTGGTCATTGCTGTTAGTGGGAGTGTGTTGTGCACGGATTGACTAACACTTGATTGACTTTGGGATGTTCGGAAGCTGTGGAGAGTGTTATTAATACAAATGCAAGTCTTCCTGGAAATGGAGGAAAGGTTTTGTTTTAAAGTTAGCCGAAAACAGATTTTATATAAATGCTCTGATGCCAATCAGGAGAAATGGGTCATGCTGACATTTATTTCTCCTGTTTCCAATGTGTATGATCTTTATTTTACAAATCCTGACTTTTGCATAAGGATGGCTTGCCTTTGACACTCAAAGGCTTTATAGAGTCTCTCTGGGCATAGACAGACATTTGAGGATCATGTGGACATTGGTTTAAAAAAAAAATTACACTGAAGAAGTCTGCCCACCCAAGAAATACTGGGGAAATCACTGAAGAAAATAAGCAACATCATAAATACTGAATAATGCTGTTTCTATCTCTACTACTCTGGCTACTACATTGGCTATTTACACACTTCCAGGTACAAGACCGAAAGACTATGTGTGTCTGCAAGACAGGATTTCGCAAAACTGTGCACTGAGATGACCCCCAGACATAGCGCACAGATATGTCTGGTAAATTCCTTTCAACACATCAGGGATCACAAGTTGGTGTGTACAGAAATTGGATATTTGAAACAATAACTTCAGTGGAAGTATTGTGACAGTAAGCATCTTCAGAGAAAAAGTGGGTTGGTCAAAGCCTCTCTGAGATGATATTTGGTTTTGAGGCAAGAGAAACAAAGTGACCTGGAACGAGTGCACCTCCCACCCAGAAGCCAACTCTCTACCAAGGCCAGGGTGCCCAGTATTGGCAGCCAGCTAGCTGCTGAGAGAAGTGTTCAGAAAATTGAAAAACAAAAATCACATCCCACCACAGCCTCACCCTGTCCATTTCTGTAATCTCCTCCAGTCCTGGAAACCTCAAGATCGTTGTGTTCCTTCAGTTCTCGACTGAGGGTCACTTCTGATTTTGCCACTTTGGCTGTATCTTCAGCAATCGAGACCCCACATTCAAGAATTCCTTCTCTAAACCTCTCAGACTCTCTCTCACTTTCCTTTAATCAAGTTTTTGGTCATCATGCCTAACGTGTGGCTGAACATCAATTGTTTTGTCTAATGTTGTAAAGTGACTTGGTCACTTTGCTGTATTTACAAACCAATTTATGAATTCTTTAGCTACAGCTAGCAAATGCCAAAATGTAGATGAATCTAAGTTTTATGTTTACAACATATTGATGATGTTTATGGGAACCAAATAAATGTCATCACACCACAGCCAGAACAATGGTTGGGTAACTTCCTTTAAGCACCTGCTGCTAGTGACTGGGATTGATTCAAGCACAAATGTGCATTCCCTGCTTACCGCATTTTGTTAAAAACCGAAAGAACTGCAGAAAGTATAAATCAGGAACAAAAACAAAGTTGCTGGAGAAGCTCAAAAGGTCTGGCAGCATCTGTGAAGGAAAAAAAACGCTGTTTTTTTGCTGCCAGACCTGCTGAGCTTCTCCAGCAACTTTCTTTTTGTACCACATTTTGTTGGTGGAATCACCCCTTTAACTAAGTCAGAATTTGTGGCTGTTTCAGTCAGCGCTGTGCTTGCTGCAGACATGCAAGGCCCGGGAAACCAATGTTGCATTTGTAAATTGTGTCCCAGGTCCCATCCTGACTGCAACTCAGTGGAGTCTGTTTATTCTTAGACCCCTCCGGCCTCAACGTGTCACATACATGAATGAGATAGAGTGACAGTTGCATATGCAAGTAACCGGCCCTGTTAGCATTAATTTTGCGGTGAACTTCAATGGCTAGTATTAAATTAACAAAACAAATTAACTATAATCCTCCGCCTATTCCCAAAGCAGTCACATTTGTTGTTCCAAAGTCGGCATTTAAACGGACTGTCCGCGGTGGGGGTGCCTTGGAAAGTTGCTGTTCTAGAATTTTAGCTGCAATTCACACCAATCAACACTCTGCTGCCTGGAACCTTCACACGTGTCTCTGCTAACGCCACATCACACATTCACCCGGAGATCCTGTCTGTCTATTTCACACAGACAGACAGAATTACTCAAAAACCATTCCCAGAGTAAAATTAAACACTCCAGTCAAACTTTTAAAGTACCTCCTCGAGCATGCCCTCGCCTTTTGAAATAGCCAACTTTGTAACCATACATGATTTGCATATATAAATAGTTAAAATGTTGCAATGAAAGTTAACTTTTTGATATATACACGCATACGTAAATAAATAAGATAACAGACATCGTATCAAAAGTTAACTTTTTTAAATGATATACTGGTAAAAATGGCCTTCTGTTTAACAGCTGGGAAAGTTTGCAGCTTTTAGCCAGTTCGCCTGGTTTTAGTTTGTAGTTGGGGTCTTTCCAAAACAAAGTTCTGTCATGCACTGACTTTTTTCAGTTACAGAGCCGGAGTGTATGACAGAACCTTCGGCTTGGAAGACCTCTGCACGGCAGATCCTCAAGTGAAGTCAGGAATAACCCCATCAGACCGACTTTTTGTTTAAAGAAATCCCATTTTGGTCGGAGTAAGACTCTTTCTCTAAACATTTCTTTGCAAATGAACACAACATCGGCGCAAATCAGATCAGCAAAAAAAAGTTCTTTCAATTTAGTGCCCTCCCTCCCCCCACCCCCTCCACACAACACACATCTGGGGAATTTACAGGCGATCCCTGCATTTACTGGTTTGCATTTTTACTGGCACAACCTTTTCATTTTATTTTACAAACAAGTTAGCGACGGGTTCTGGTCCTAAGGAATCTGGTTCGGTTTCATTACAGAGTCGCAGACTGTCCAGGCTCTATATCTGTGTAAACTGGTATGTGAAAAATGTCAGAGCAACACATCGCAGCCAATTCAGCGAGAAAGCAGAGGGAGTCTGGGGAGGAAGACTGACTTCACCTTACTCACAATCTGTTTCACCAGAGGCATCATCCACCGAAAGTGACATGACCTAAACAAGGGAAGAAAAATACTTGAAATATACACCCCATACCAGCACTGACGGATCCATGTTGCGGTAGTGCCGACGTGGACAAATCTTTCATCCACTCCCAGCCTCTATGACTGGCTCCCTCGCCATAGGAGGGTTTATTTAGGCTGCAATGGTGTATGACGGGATTCTGGATGACTCCCAGCTGCTTGCTCTCATCTGGTTTGACTCAGATTCCTTGTCTCAATCCCCCCCCCCCACTCCAGTTGTGCTTTTGGGTTGGAACACTCTGACAAACACTACATTCGCAGCACCCAGCTCCGAATATACAAAATAAAATTGCTGTCTATTTATTCCAATCAGCCTGTTCAGGCATGTTGGGACACAGCACTTGGGTAGATGGAACTTGAATCCAGGCCTCTTGGCTCAGAGGTAGGGGCATTACCACCGTGCCACACACCTTTAAAGATTGAGGTGTATGCTCTAACAGAACTTGCATGTTTCCTAATCTGAGACTCCGCCCCACCCCGTTTTAAAAATACATTCTCACTTACACTCAGTTTTCATGATTTGTGAGATACCTGATAGTTCAATATGTGAAAACTTGCATTTCTGCAGCACTATTAACTACCACAGAATGTTCCAAAGCACCTTATTGTCCAGTAAATATTCATGAAACATACTCCAAAGGACCATTAGCAGAAACAATTATTGTTTTTGCCATTGACACACATACACCCCATGATGCACAGGGTCTCCCTATAGGAAACCATATTAATTTGTACACAACAAATTCCAACCAACAGCAGTGATGACCAGGCTACCTGTTTTACTGATATTGATTGTATAGTCTTAGCCACAACATTGCAGAAAATATTCTTGTTCATCTTCTTCAAAATAATTTCAATTCTTCTACACCCAGCTGAGAGGCAGATGTGGCTTCAGTTTAACAGGTTGCATGAAAGAACTCACTGAGTGCAGCACCAGGATACCTGCCGAGATGTTGTACTCACATCCTGGAGTGGGTCTTCAATACACAACCTTATAACCCTGAACAAAGAACAAAACTGACTGACCCACAGTGTGGTATGATAAATATTACAGGAAGGTATAGATTCTGCACAAAACCCAGGAACATCTTCAAAGCCACATCTTAAAGAGTTCTCCCAGGTGTCCTGGCTAACATATCCGTGAACCAACGTCACAGATATGGATTATTTCATCACTATCATATTACCATTTGTGGTATCTTGTGCAAATTGATTGCTGTATTTCCTACATTACAGCTGGCGACTATAATTCAAAAGTACTCTGTTGGCTGTGAGGTGTTTTGGGGCATCCTGAGGTCATAAAAAATCACTATATATATGCAACTGTTTTTCTTTCTGGTTTTGTATGTGATATATTGTTGGATGTATATATATGGTATGGGGTGTGTGTATATGTGGTACGGGATGTATGCATATGTAGGAAAGTATGGGATAAGTATGTATTATTTATAGTATAGGATGAATGTATATTCTCTTAACTTCACTCATGGGATGTGGCTGGGCCAGCAATTATTGCCAGTCAGTGAGTTGCCCTTGAGAAGGTGGTGGTGAGCTGCCTTCTTGAACCACTGCAGTCCACATGCTGTAGGTTGATCCAAATTACCCTTAGGGAGGAAATTCCAGGAATTTGACCCAGGAAAGGTGAAGGAACAGCGATACATTTCCAAGTCAGGATGGTGAGTAGCTTGGAGGGGAACTTGAAAGTGGTGGTGTTCCCGTGTATCTGCTGCCCTTGCCCTTCTAGATGGAAGTGGTCATGGGTTTGGAAGTTGCTGTCTGAGAATCTTTGGTGAATTTCTGCAGTGCATCTTGTAGATGGTACACACTGCTGCGACTGAGCGTCAGTGGTGGAGGGAGTGGATGTTTGTGAATGTGTTGCCAATCAAACAGGCTGCTTTGTCCTGGATAGTGTGAAACTTCTTGAATGTTGTTGGAGCTGCACCCATCCAGATTTGTGCCTTGTAGATGGTGTTCAGGCTATATGGAGTCAGGTCGTGAGTTTCTCACTGCAATATTTGTAGCTTCTGACCTACTCTTGACCAAGCCTTTTTATGTATACATTAGAAGAAAGAGGGTAACAAGGGAAAGAGTAGGCCCTTTCAAGGACAGGGAAGGAAGTTATGCCTCAGCCACAGGAAGTGGGAGAGATCCTTAATGAGTACTTTATATCAGTATTCACCGAGGAGAAGGACATGACTGATGTCCAGGTCAGGGATGAGTGTGTGAATGCTCTGCAGAATGTATTAAAGAAGGAAGTTTTGGGAATCCTAAATCGTAATAAGGTAGATAAGTCCCCCGGGCCAGATGGGATCTATCCCAGGTTACTGCGAGAGGCAAGGGAAGAAGTAGCTGGGATATCTTCACATCCTCCTTGACCACAGGCAAGGTTCCAGAGGACTGGAGATTAGCCAATGTTGTTCCCTTGTTTAAGAAAGGAAGCAGGGATAATCCAGGAAATTATAGGCCGGTGAGTCTGACATCTGTGGTAGCGAAGGTCCTGGAGAAGATATTGAGGGACAGGATATATGCACATTTGGAAGAAAATGGACTAGTTAGCGACAGGCAGCACGGTTTCGTACTGGGAAGGTCATGTCTTATGAACCTGATCGAATTTTTTGAAGAGGTGACAACGATAATTTATGAAGGAACAACTGTGGATGTAGAGCTGTGGAACGAAATAGTTCAAAAACTGAAATCACATAGGATTCGGTGTAGTTGGTTAGATGGATACAAAACTGGCTTGGTCATAGAAGACAGAGAGTGGCAGTGGAAGGGTGTTTTTCAGAACGGAGACTGGTAACTAGTGATGTTCCATAGGGATCAGTCTTAGGTCCTCTGTTGTTTAAAATATGTATATATGATCTGAAGGAAAATGTGGGTGGTCTGATTAGTATAGATAGGGTGGATGGTCAGAGGCTTTTTTCCAGGATTGAAGTTTCAATTACAAGGGGGCATAGGTTCAAGGTGAGAGGGCAAAATTTCAAGGGAGATGTGCGAGGGAAGTTTTTCACGCAGAGAGTGGTAGGAGCTTGGAATGCACTGCCAAAGGAGGTGGAGGAAGCAGGCACGTTGGTGTCATTTAAGATACATATGGATGGTTACATGAATAGGGAGGGAATGCAGGGGTATGGACTGCATAGGGCAGAATGTTTGTTTTTTAGATTAGTCAGGGCATGATGATTGGCACAGGCTTGGAGGGCTGAGGGGCCTGTTCCTGTTCCGTACTTCTCTTCTGTACTCTTTTTGTTCTTGTAGCCAGTGTATTTGTATGGTGGGTCTGGTTGAGTTTCTGGTCAATGATAACCCTCGGGATGTTGATTGTGAGGGATTCAGTGATGGTAACACCATTGAATGTCAAGGAGTTGTGGTTAGATTGTTTCTTATTGGTGATAGTCATAGCCTGACATTTGTTGGTGCAAATGTAACTTGCCACTTGTCAACCCGAGCTTGGATATTATCCAGACATTGCATTTGAACATGGACTGCTTCATTATCTGACGAGTCATGAATGGTGGTGAACATAGTGCAATCATCGGCGAACATACCCACTTCTGACCTTATGATGGAGGGAAGGTCATTGATGAAGCAGCTGAGGATGGTTGGGCCTAGGTCACTACCCTGAGGGACTCCTGCAGAGATGTCCTGGAGCTGAGATGACCGACCTCCCACAACCACAACCATCTTTCTATGTGCCAGGTATCATACCAATCAGCAGAGAGTTTGCTACTTGATACCCATTGATTCAGTTTTGCCAGGTCTCCTTGATATCTCACTCGTTAAAATGCATCCTTAATGTCAAGAGCTGGTACTCTCACCTCACTTCTGGAATCCAGCTCTTTTATCCACATTTGAACGAAAGCTGCAATAGGAACCAATGGAGGAGGCCGAGATGAATCATCCACTCAGCCTTTCCAGCTGAAGGTTGTTGCAAAAGCTTCAGCCTTATCTTTTGCACTGATGTGCTGGGCTCTTCCATCATTGAGGATGGGGATATTTGTGGAGCCTCCTCCTCCAGTGAGTTGTTTAATCATCCACCACCATTCACAACTGGATGTGGCAGGCCTGCAGAGCTTAGATCTGATCCATTGGTTATGGGATTGCTTAGCTCGGTCTATCACTTGTTGCTTTCGCTGTTTGACGTGCAAGTAGTCCTGTTTGGTAGCTTCACCAAGTTGACATCTCATCTTCAGGTATGCCTGATGCTGCTTCTGGCATGTCCTCCTGCACTCTCCACTGAACCAGGTTTGATCCCCTGGCTTGATGGTAATGGTTGAGGTTGGGGGCGGGGTATGCCGGGCCATGAGGTTACAGATTGTGCTAGAGTACAATTCTGCTGCTGTTGATGGCCCACAGCGACTCATGGATGCCCAGACTTGAGTTGCTAGATCTCTGCAAAGTCTGTTCCACTTAGCACAGTGATAATAACACACAACATGATGGAAGTTATTCTCAATGTGAAGGTGGGGCTTCGTCTCCACAAGGACAATGCAATGGTCACCCTTACCGATACTGTCATGGACAGATGCATCTGCAGTTGGCAGATTGAAAAGGATGAGGTCAAGTCTGTTTTTCCCTCTTGTTGGTTCCCTCACCACCTGCTGCTGACCCAGTCTAGCAGCTATGTCCTTTAGGACCCAACCAGCTCGATCAGTAGTACTGCTCCCAAGCCACTCATGGTGATGAACATTGAAATCGCCCACACAGAGTACACTTTGCATGCTTTCCACCCTCAGCGCTTCCTCCAAGTTTTGTTCAACAGGAAGGAGTACAGATTCATCAGCTGAGGGAGGACGGTATGTGGTAATCAGAAGGAGGTTTCCTTGCCCATGTTTAACCTGATACCATGAGACTTCATGGGGTCCGGAATCAATGTTGAGGACTCCCAGGTACGGTGCTTCAGTGGTTAGCACTATTGCCTCACAGTGTCAGACTGTCTGTGTGGAGTTTGTACATTCTCTCCATGTTTGCTTGTGTTTCCTCCCACAGGCCAAAGATGTGCAGGTTATTTGGATAGGCTTTGCTAAATTGTCCTTAGCATGCAGGCTAGGTGGATTAGCCACAGGAAATCCAGGGTGGGATGCTCTTCGGAGGTTTGGTGTGGACTCAATGGAAAATGGCCTGCTTCCACACTG